TGGCCGCCATTTGGCTATCGTTAATGAGATCATGAAACAAATGCACATACATATTTGTGACATGATGTACCTTGTGTGTGTGAAGTTTGAACTCGATCAATCCAAGCATGTCTCAGATACGGATCCAGAACTGAATTCTTTAAAACAAAATGGCCGCCAGTCGGCCATTTCGAACCCGATCCAAAAAAAAAAATGACGTGCATCAAGGTCCTATTATGTTTAATGTATGTACCAAATTTGAACAAAATCCGTCCATGCATAACTGAGATCCGGGTCCGGAATGGTGAAAATGTGCGATTTTGATGCATTTTCGGCCTTAAAATGGCCGCTATTCGGCTATCGTTAATCGGATCATGAAAAAAATGCATGTGCATATGTCCCATATAATGTGTGATGTATGAGTGAAGTTTGAACTTAATCGGTCCATGCATGTTCGAGATACAGGTGATCACGGACGCACGGACGGACTGACGCACACAGGGCAAAACATAAGTCCCCGTTTTCGGACTGCGTCCGAACGGGGACTAAAAATATTTTCCCTTGTAATTGGGAACAAGATATTGCACTTTTGTAAACAGCTTTACAAAAATTTAGTAATATTATGTACTGCATTTTTAACATGGCCAGAATAATACAGCGTAAAAACAAAAATACATTAATGCTTCACGAAAACAATATAGTAATACAGTGTAGAACTACATGTAAAATTTTGTAAGTTAATAAAAATACAAAACAATAAAACTTACATGCCCAGAATATGCCACCACCGGTTCTGGTGTGGTGTCGCCACTAAAACTTGCTATAAGCTCACTGGTAAATGAATTGCCATCATAGATAAACAAGAAATCATAGGTACACTCAGATTTAAAATTTGTAAAATTTAACATTATCTTGGCGAGAGGATCAGGAGCTGAAAAATAAAAGAAACAGGTGTTAAGCAATTTTCTAATTTACTAATTAACTAATTTTCACTGGGTTTAAATTTCACTGATTTACCATTTCAGGCATATTCAGTTGGTTTTAAATGCACAGTTTTATCATATAGATAATGTGTTCTGTGCTAAATTTTACATATTCACTGGGTTTTAATTTAGCGCATTTTCCAGTATGTGAATCTCTGTTGTGTTTAACATTAAAATTACAGTTTATTCTGGCTGTAACTGCAAAGTTCTGTAGCTATTATTAACAGAACCTTGCACGGAATGGCCACAGGTTTTATCAAATTGACTTTGACTGGCGCAGATCAACGAGTACGAACTGACACGTTTCCAAGTTTTAATTAGGTAATTTAATTAGGTAATCAGTGCAAGTTGTGCCCAGATCAAACCTCATACTTGTGATTTCCATTTGAAGAGTGCATTGGATTGTGGGAAAATCAATCTTTATCAACACAAATGTCAACCATGTGAAACTACCGCGCTTTAACATTTTTACTGTTTTAAATAAGTTATCACCAACCCAAATTTATTTTTCTGGGATATTTTAACTATCAGCATGAGCGTGAAAAATAATTTTTTAATTGTTGAATTAATGGCAGTTAGTTAGCGATATTGTGTATAGATTTTTCTCAATAGTCTAGAGTGCATATGTGATATCTATGTTTTACAAAATGGTGGGAAAACACGTGGAGTATGACAGATGTAATGGAAGTAAGAGTCTACTCAACGTAAACTGACACTGTATATTTATGTAACTCAGTATTTTAGTTTATACCTCATACTGCAATCAAAGAGAGCTTATAAAGAACTCCTGTGTGCTCAAAGTATTACGTGTTCCAGTCCATCATTTTATGTGTTCCAGTCATCATTTAAGTGTTCTAGACCATCATTTTATGTGTTCCAGTCATCATTTAAGTGTTCTAGACCATCATTTTATGTGTTCCAGTCATCATTTAAGTGTTCTAGACCATCATTTTATGTGTTCGAGTCATCATTTAAGTGTTCTAGACCATCATTTTATGTGTTCTAGTCATCATTTAAGTGTTCTAGACCATCATTTTATGTGTTCCAGTCATCATTTAAGTGTTCTAGACCATCATTTTATGTGTTCGAGTCATCATTTAAGTGTTCTAGACCATCATTTTATGTGTTCTAGTCATCATTTAAGTGTTCTAGACCATCATTTTATGTGTTCCAGTCATCATTTAAGTGTTCTAGACCATCATTTTATGTGTTCGAGTCATCATTTAAGTGTTCTAGACCATCATTTTATGTGTTCTAGTCATCATTTAAGTGTTCTAGACCATCATTTTATGTGTTCCAGTCATCATTTAAGTGTTCTAGACCATCATTTTATGTGTTCGAGTCATCATTTAAGTGTTCTAGACCATCATTTTATGTGTTCCAGTCATCATTTAAGTGTTCCAGTCCATCATTTTATGTGTTCCAGTCATCATTT